AGAAATTTATTGCATATTTCGCTCATGATTGATGTGTATGAGAGAATAGAGAAGAGGAATACTTGATCATCAGTACGAAGAAGTATAAATAGGCATCAAGTAAAGGTTAAACCTTAAGAGACACAACCGAAACCTTAAACGACACAACCAAAACCTGAAACAGTGGAAACCTTTAGCTAAATTATTCAATTATTTCTGTTTTTGCTTTTCCAATTTATTTACACTTTGCTTTTATTTTAAAATAACGTCGTTGACTAAAAATAAAAACCTCTAATTTTTCTTCCTTTTCAAAATTAAAATATTACAAAAAAAATAATTTTACTTAACTTCGGTAACTTCACCTGCTCTACATACACTAATATTTATCCATAACGTATTATTTCTTTTGTTTATAATAATCTGCAACAGTTCCTCCTCGATGATTGTCCACACCAAACTCAGTACTTAACAATATACACATTTTAAATTATATTCTTAAAAAATTATAATATATTGTTTGCTTAGCCTTTCCCATAGGTGGGGGTCCATTTTTCTTGTAAACGACAATGGTGTTAATCTTAGCTGTGTTTATTATTTTCCACCGGCAAGACGGATGTTTCACACGGTGACTCGAGTATTCACTAAACATAGTGTTCAGCTGCTGATATAATTTCGTACACGACATGAGAAACACAAACGGTTTTTGGCACGGGTTACGGCTAACCGGCCTGGTGCTTAAAGCTTAGGCAGTGCAATCCGTCCGTTTGTACCAATGCAAGAAATTCTACTAGGCATTCGCATTTTCCGTGGAGAGAATATTTGGACTGTGTAGCCTCATGAGACCGAGATAGTCCATCTCTTGTACTTGTCGTAGCATATCGACTACTGGAGTAGTACGGCTGAGTATATAGCTTGGTTATATTTACTTTAGATTAAATGCTTGCTTGTTGCCATTTTTATAATAAAACAATTTAATTACAATGTAATTTCATAGTACTAATTAAGTAGAATTTTGCTATCAATTTATAAATTGAATATTTAATTTTACAGCCTACGGAATCATTTAAAATTGAAAATTTTATATGTTTGTGAACTTTATTCTATATTTTAACTAACAACAGGGTTGTTTCTGTGTATGAAAATGAAATTAAATAATATATTAAAAATATAACAACAACCATATCAATTTAAACTTTCTCGGATGAATTCAAAATTATTAAGTAAAGTTTTACATGAACTACGATACGTTTTTACTTAATAA